GATGATTCTTCTCCATATTTAGCAGAATCCACAAGTTCATTTTAAGACTGTTGAAGAAAATCTCAATGAGAAGAATATTTTTGATCAGCAAACACAAGTCATGACCAAGAGACGGAGTATTGTTTGCAAACACACCCTGTTGATTATTACATATATGTTTTTTATTTTTATATAAGTATGATTCCTCTTGTGCCGAAAGGTCAGTCCGTATTTCCATCATGGGAGTTCCCAAAAATTTTCAGTAAGCAGAAAAATGACCGGGAAATACGATGGATTGGTCCTCTCAGCTGTTGAGTCTCCACGCATAATCAGCCCTTTCAGGACTTTGTTAAGACAGCAGAAGAAGAAAATATCATTTCAATAGCGCCTCTCAAGATAAAAATCACGAGGCGCTTAATAAAAACAAAAAATGTAAAAAATAAAATAAAATAATTTAGAAAATGGTTGAAAATATATTTAAAATGAGCAAAAAATAGATAATTGTGATTAAAAAAATTTAAGAAAGAGGGAAATCAGTGGATCCTGAGGAATTTGGAATAGGTAGGGAGAGCAGAATAAAGAGAGAGTGGTGAAGAAGGTCATACAAAAGCCAGCTTGAACAAGTGAGTCTTCAGCTGCTTTTTAAAGGAGACCACTGAGTCCACTGATCTCAGGCTCAGGGGGAGAGAGTTCCAGAGTCTGGGGGCCACAGCAGCAAATGATCTGTCACCTTTGGTCTTTAGCCTGGTGCTGCACAACCAGTAGGCTTTGAAAACAGCACACTGGTGAGGTCCATGGATATTAATAACATTAAAGGTTTTTATCTGGTAAAGTACGCCATCATTTGATCCATTAGTGGGACAGAAGGAGCGGCTGTGGGGGCAGCAGTAGCTCAACAGGTTGAGCGGGTTGTCCAGTAATCGGAAGGTTGCAGGTTCGATCCCGGCTCCAGACAGAGAATTCTGCTGTTGTGTCCTTGGGCAAGACACTTAACCCACCTTGCCTGCTGGTGGTGGTCGGAGGGACTGGTGGCGCCTGTGCTTGTCAGCCTCGCATCTGTCAGTGTGCCCCAGGGCAGCTGTTGCTACATCGTAGCTCATCACCATCAGTGTGTAAAAGTGTGTTTGAAAGGATGAATGATACACTGTAGTGTAAAGCGCTTTGGAGTCCTTACTCTGAGAGGTGCTGTACAAGTGCGGGTCATTTATCATTATCATTTATCATAAAAAGTGGCATTCAGTGACCAGAAGAAGCACGGTTTGTCGTACACTCTGTGACACCATGAAGCGCCTTGAAATACAGCGATGTGGTGGATTTACGCTGTATTTTTCAGTGTAGGAGTTTAGTAACTGACCAACTTAACTGACTAGCTACCTGTTACGGGCCATTCCAAGTACCAACCCTAGGTTCGGTACTCTGTTGGTTCCTCAAATGTCCCCGAAAGTTGTCATTTCGGGCCTGCCTAATGGAATGGAGTCATTTGCATATATCAAAGGTCTGGTGAAAGTAGACAGAAGTGTCAATAGTGGAAATGGGCCTCTTGCTATCATGTTAAAGCTAGAAGCTGACCAGTTGGCTCCAGTTTACCTTTTGGTTTTGGAATTGACTTTGTTTTCTATCCTTTAACACCTGCAGCTCACTCTGAGAAATGTTTTTTTTTCTGTCAGTCGCTTCTGTCCCTGCTGTGTTCAAAATCAGATTATGCATCATTATGCATTGAGTGATCATTTCTATAAACTCAGGAGGATGTTTTCCCCTACTCTTCATATTCAGCCATTTACCTGCATGAACTGCTGTTGCTGCTATCTTCGTGTTTGCTCAGTTAACAAATTGTCCCCAGCTGTTTATAGATCATTTGAAACTAAAAGCTTCAGATAAAATGTTTTGTTTAAATTATAAGGCCAAAATATGTTTATCTTTGAATATGATGGATGATTAAAGCAAACGTTTCTTGATTTGCATTTTCTTCTGCTCTACTCATATTTTAAATGAAGGCGATTCGACGTTCATTCACTTCAAATTTAGCATCAAAGCTACCTATAAACCTTGTTAAAAGTCAAGTACCAAAGTCATTTGGGTTCTATTCAAATATTTTGCTATGAAATAAAAATCAATAATAGAACCTCTAACAAAACATTTTATACTAGATTTAGCAGAGATTTTATTGGATGATTATGTCGTCTTGTGGGGATTTTTTAGGAATTAACCTAAAAAAATCTGTTTTATTCACTAATGAGCATCCATTCAGAAATAGAGCGGGAAACGTTTTTTTAGCTCTAGTAATAAATCACATGTTTTGCACTCTGTTGGGATACGATTTGCTGAGAGGTCTGAATAAAACTCTGACCAAATCTAATCTTTCCCGTCTGCAGAGGCACCAGTCTGACTGAGACTCCTTAACCTCGCTAGCTCTTTATCTCCAGAGGAGGATCACTTCTTCATGAGATGACCTTTGACCTTTTTTCTTATTCCATAAATATCCTTGAGAGATTATTGGGGTGAATATTCAGATTAGAGTGTGTTCTTATTGTCGTTTCGGTTAGCATATTGCTACTTTTCAAAGATGTTTCATCTCTTCCAAAACTAGAAAACACTCTTTCCCTCTTTGTCTCCCTCCCTGTCCTTCCCTCTTGTCCCCCTCCTCTGGGCAGATAGTGTGACAGATCTGTCACGTCGGCACCTGGTCGTTCACTAGTGTTTATGTCCTCACCTCAGCTGAGAACTGCTGGACACCATGCTGAGAAATGTGTGTGAACACTGGGAGTGTGTGAGCGCTCCCAGCAATTTTAACCTTACTTTACCTTCACCTCACATACCAGAAGTTTGGAAATATTTCTTCAGGATGAGAAGATTTGAACTCACACGTGCAAGTGTTGCAGTGTGTGTGTGTGTGTGTGTGTGTGTGTGTGTGTGTGTGTGTGTGTGTGTGTGTGTGTGTGTGTGTGTGTGTGTGTGTGTTGCACTCATGCAGCAAGCAGGGTCTGTGTCCTGTGTCACTCATAAACGACAGGCCAATCATTCCTGTGTTCTAAAATAAGCTCTTCACCCCCATTAAACTGTACACCCCAACACACACACATGCATGCACACACACTACCTCACATGTGCTCCTCTCATCAGCACCTCCTCACCTTCAGAGTGACAGGAGACAACTGAGCTGTAGAAGGCGAGGAGCAGCAGGGGAGCCTCTGCTAAGTTTACAAGCAGGAAAATTGTGTTTTTTTACTAAAATCACTACAAGAATTCTAGTTGTAGTTTTTCATTAAAGGTCGTCGGATGTTTTCTGCTGTTTCTGAGCTTTTTATTTAGAACATTTAGACTTCTGAAAATACTAAAGGCATCTTTTTTTTCCACTTTAACACAGTGGTTCTCAATCTGGGATCTGTGGCAACCCCCCCCCCCCCCCCAAGCTTGCTGAGGTCCCTACAATTTTGCTTGTGCTGAGGCTGTGATATGTAAAAATTACATTTATGAAATCCCAATAACACACCCAATAATATAATCAAACCCCTGAATAGCAGAACTCTATTTGTCTGTAGAAAGTTTTTAACTAATCCTTTTTAATGTGTCGGTAGAAATTGTGGCAGACCTGGCTTTTTTAGGGCACAAGCAAAGAAAAAAGGTTGGGAACCATTGCTTTAACCGACACACACACACACACACACACACACACACACACACACACACACACACACACACACACACACACACACACACATGCACATTTTCTGAAACTAAATAGCAAATATTTAACCACTTGTCCGTCACTTTTCAGTAAGAAGAAATATGGACACAGTTAGAAAGCTCATCTAATGTGAAAACAATTGGAGAATAAATTATATTATAGCTGTTTTCTAAAATCTGTTATAAATCTGTGAAAACAGGATAAGTTTAGGTCTGTTTTTTTAATTTGGTGAAAATCAACAGTAACAGTTAAGCTAGATGACTCATAAAAACTGTTATGACTATACTTTGACTTTGAAAGTGCACCGTGACTGAATTCTGAAAGGTTTCATTCAATTTGTGGTAAACTGTAATTTTTTTTTTTAGATATACAATTTAAAAAGAAATTTAATAAATGTAAACCTAATTTGTTTATTTTATTTATTTACAGATGTGTTGTTTGGGGTTTAATTTAAATTAATTTAATTGAACTAAATTGGGTTTTAGAGTGTATACAGATATGGGTGGATTGGCATTCAGACCATCAGTGGTCTGGTCTTTCCCGAAGAAAAACTTTACCATTTTTCCTCAAAACGTGTTTGAAAACCTGTGAAATTATTGAAAAAAAGAGGTTATCTTCTCCAGACAGATTTCAGAGAGGCCAGCCTGCTGCAGCTGGAACAGGAGACATCCTCTCCAACTCCTCCAAACTTGATCAAGCTTCTCCTTGGAGAAACATTTCTCTTGGTGTATCTGATTTCCATCATGGTGCAGCAGCTAATTATGCTTTATTGCAAAGGAAAATGAAAAATTACACTACCTGCATGCTCAACATATTCTTGGGGAAATATATTAGTTTATCAGTTTTTCTTGACACTTCACAAAAATCCATAATCACTGCAGCAAAGCTTTTTTCTCTTTTTAATCCAAATTTGCACAAATTACAAAATAATAATAATAATAAAATTAAATAAATGAAATAATTAGTTTGTGTTTATATAAACCATCTGTGATTATGGACAGAATTTTCCAAGAGTGGCTTTTGTCTGTGCTCCACTCCGTGAGGGAGGCTGGGTGTCAATAACAGGCATCAACATGAACTTTGAGACTTTAAGGTCACACACACTCGCTGACAACTGAACCACCTGTTGCCACACACACTCACACTCACACACACACAAATACACACATGTCCACACTTTCCCACCCATGTCAACATTGGTAACACACCCACACTCAAGTGAGCAGCCACTTCTGTGTATCTAAAGATATTAGTTTACCCAATAAATATAATTACCCCCTGAGCTAGTATATCGTAGACATCTTTATCAAACTACTGCTGAATCTTTCATAAAAAATGCATTTAAGGCGTTTTTTATTATATAAATTAGAAAAACCGATCAATACAATGTGATGTCATTACATATATTTTATTTGGCTCAAAAAGGTCACAGAACAAGTCAATGTCCTCGGGCCAAAGAGCTTGTGATGAGACATGTTTGCACCGGAGAGTTTTCTGTCCAGTTTTGGGTCGGTTGTCATGCACCTGACCCAGTCTAAGGAGCAAAAGCAGGTGCATTTGTTTTATTTTTAAGTGCAGATTCCTTTAAATCTTCCCCTCTTCGTACCACATGTCCTTGTCAGCTTGTCTGTCAAAGTAAACATTATTTGTGTCTGTTCCACAGTTTTAACTACTTTAGCCAAACTGTGACATCTGTAATGGTTGCCATGGCATCGTCACGTTAATGCCCCAGGCCCAGATAATGTGAATACTTCTGGGTTTTGTTGTGCATATTATTTTAGGCAGTTTTTAGTAACTGTTTAGTAAATTCTGTGTGAGGAACTTTATGAGTCTTTTGCACATGGTAGCACCTTATTCCCGTAACAAAAGGACATCCTATTACCATGGTGATTTTCTCTTTTGGTACCTCAAGCCTACAGGAGTGGGTTAGCTTTGCTTCGACAGGAAGCTGAATGAGAAAACTGTTCCTCTGAGGTGCATCAGTACCAATCGACCTCATATAAGGGATGCTGATGAGCAACAAAGAAGTACCATTCCTGCCTTGAAGGTTGAAAGCGATGATTGTTTACTGCAAGAAGTGCCTGTTTCCAGTTAACTCAGCAACTTCTGGACACCTTAATTTGCTCAGGATATAAACGTTACTCCCCCCCCAGGTTGATCTGCCACTTCATTCATACAAAGTTCAGTATGGCTTTGTGTCCAGATAATTCTTTCTTAATTCGTTCTGAGCCAAACACCCAAATTGTGTTTTTATGACAAGATTCAACATCATCCCATATGGGCCGTGACCTGTGACACCCCTCCTCCTGGCACGCTGCTTGCCACTCCTAAAGTTCGAGAGTCAAACAAGAAGCCCTGCTGTCCTCCACTGAGCACACCGACACTGTCCGTTAAAGTCCCACTGGGAGACGAGCCATGAAACGGACTCTGATGACTGGGAGTGACCATTTTATCTGGGCTGGCAGCAAGGCGAGGCGAAGGGGGGAATGTGTACCCATACAGGCTGTAGGGTGGCGTATGGAGACGAAGCCCACTGTAGCCTTGTGGGGCGGGGTTAGATAGATAGCCAAGCTGAGCTGCAGGAAGAGTAAGAGAGCAGAATCCTTCTCCTTCAAAGCCGGATGGACCTCTGGGGGAGTGGAATGGCTCGGGGGGGTTGCTGTAGCGGTGAAGGGGGTGCGTAGGTCGATTACAGGCGTAGTCCGGTGGGCTGAGAGGGCAAACCTGGAAAGGTGATGAGCATGGGGAAGTCGAGAGTAAATGAGATGGCGTTCCAATCCCTCCGTGAGATCCTGGGATTCCTACAAAGGCAGAAACAGAAATGATGATCAAACTATATAAACAATTCCAAATAAATCGAGATGTATCTCTCTGGGCTCTGAATGTTGGCAAAATGTTGCCAGAATGTCTCAAAACATTCATGAGGGTTCTATAATTTCTCATTGCAGGGCTGTGCTTTTGCATTCATCAGATTTCAGTCATATTTAGAAAGTTTGTAAATGTACTCTCATATTAGTCAGTTGCTGTACACCTTGTGAACCTGTCTCAAACCTGACTCAAACCTGTCTCAAACCTGTTTGAAACCCGTCTCGCACCCATCTTGAACCTGTCTCAAACCCACTTTGAGTCTGTCTCAAACCCAACTCGAACCTGTTACAAACCTGCCTCTAGCCTGTCTCAAACCTTTTTCGAACCTGTCTCGCACCCATCTTGAACCTTTCTCAAACCCACTTCGAACCTTTCTCAAACCCACTTCGAACCTGTCACAAACCCACCTTGAACCTGTCTCAAACCTGCCTCAAACCTGTCTCAAACCTGTTTTGAACCCATCTCACACCCATCTTGAACCTGTCTCAAACCCACTTCAAACCTGTCGTGAACCCACCTCGAGCCTCTCTCAAACCTGCCTCGAACCTGTCTCAAACCTGTTTCGAACCTGTCTCGCACCCATCTCAAACCTGTCTCAATTTAGTTTCTACAAGTCTACTAAAGCGCACAATTTATAAGATGACTTTAGAAGGTACTGGTGACCAGATAGAAACCAGAATGTGGTCAAATTGCAAGCAAAGATGCTTTGTGACTAGGTTTCAAAGAGAAATATTGCACAACTGTTAACATGAACAAAGTACTATGAGAGCTACTGTTTTAATGCGAAACAAACTGATAACATTTTTAAATCAGTGAGTTAAAACGGTAGCTGCCATCATTGGATTACAAGATTGTCAAAAACATCAAAATTTCCAAGTCAAAATTTTAACTTCAGAAGGAATGTCAGCTAGTTTTCTAATTTGGAACAAAAACAAATCTATATATATATATATATATATATACATATATATATACTAGCACCACTTATGTCTTCACTTTCTAGGCTGTCTCAAGTTCTTCTTTGAGGCTCTGGTACTTCTCTAATTTCCCATATTCCTGTTTCCTGATGTAGTTGTAATTACTTGGTATTGCCACATCAGCTACAACGGCTGTCCTCTGTTGTTTGCCCACCACCACAATGTCCGGTTGGTTTGCCATCACCATTTTGTCAGTCTGGATCTGGAAGTCCACCACCGATCGCCCACCTTGGGGTTTTACCCACTTTGACTTTGGGGCTTCCAGTCCATAATCTGCACAGATGTTTCTGTACATGACACCAGCCACTTGATTGTGGTGTTCCATGTTTGCTTTTCCTGCCAGCATTTTACACCCTGCAGTTATGTGGTGGATTGTCTCAGGGGCCTCTTTGCGTAGCCTACACCTTGTGTCTGGTCTGGTGTGGTAGATCTTGGCCTCTGTTGCTCTGGTATTCAGGGCCTGTTCCTTTGCAGCCGTGGTGAATGTCTCTGAGCTGTCCTTCAGACCAGCTCTTTCTAGCCGTTGGTAGTATTTCTTGATATCAGCCACTTAGCTGTCGGTGATACATCCCATATAGGGGTTTGTCCTCCCACGATGGTGTTTCTAGCATCTCTGTTCGCCATTGTATGAGACATTCACTGAGCACATCATCTGTTGGGGCCTTATCCTTGATGTACTTATTGATATTGGATGTTTCATCCTGGACAGTGACTCTCACACTCACTAGTCCTTGGCCTCCTTTCTTACAGCTCTTGTACAGTCTCAGGGTGCTGGATTTGGGATGGAACCCTCCATGCACACACACACACACACACACACACACACACACACACACACACACACACACACACACACACACACACATATATATATATATATATATATATATATATATATATATATATATATATATATATACACCACCTGGACTCATATCTACTGCAGTTATGTCCAGTCCTGGTGTCTAGGTCCATTGATCCTACATGTTGTTCTCCAGCACACGTAATTCAATGGTTATCAACATGTCTTGAACTTCTGCAGATGCCTATTAACCATGCATTGATGTAAATCAGGTGTGTTGGAGCAGAAGACCATCTAAAACTTGCTCAATAGTGACCCTGAAGGACCAGGATTGGGTGTGAGTGTAGTGAGAAACACATGTAACCTCGTAATGAGTTGGGTTTGTGATAAAAGTGCTATAGTTCTGTTTTCACATATTTCAAGAGTTTTTCAGACCTCATAATTAGTTGGGGGTTTCTGGTGAAGATGACCATTGTTCAGTGAACTTACCTTGCTTGCCCATGCCAGGGATGTCCTCAAACGTGAGTGTCCGGAGAGATGGCCGCCAGAATGCGTACGACTCTACCAAAGCCTCCAAACCCATCCTGGAAAACAAAAAAATAACTGTCGGCTTTACAAATCCTGAAGCTATCAGCCTGCTTGGCTTGGCTGTGCATTACGCCAACCACCTGGCGGCCATCTTAGTCACCTGTGGGACCGCCGTTGGCATCTCCATGGAGACGATAAGTAACGAGGAGCATAAACGCCACACTGTGATTGGCTACTGCCGCCCGGGTGCTTGGAGGTAATTGCTTTCACACTGCTTTTATGGGCGAATCAAGACGAAGGAGCAGGAAGCTGCAGCAGCGATTTATGAGGTGGGACTCCCCTTCCCCCTCATTTTGAGCCCCCCCATCCTCTTCCCCCTCCGCTAGGTGGGGCAGAGGGTTGGTGTGGTGGTGTAATGCGAGTGCTCAGTTACCGCTCGTTAGCATGAGGATAAAAGTCCTCCCCCCCACAGGGTTGTTGCCTCGGTGATAATTTAGACAAGCTGCCCGGAGCGGCTCTGGGCGCTCCAGAGCAGCCTATCAGAGCTGAAGTTTATTTAGCAAACTGCTTAACTCTTCCTGTAATATTTAAGGGAGGTTTTTTCCAGCCTTCCTGGGTTTTTTTGCTTTTATAGGGTCAGCTGTCAAGGTCTCTGGCTTATCCCGTTCTCTACCTTCCACCCTGTCGGTTTAGGCCTCCCCTCCTCCTCCTCTCTAATGATTTCTGCGAGGCCTTGGGGGGGTGGCTGTTTGGAGACGGCTGGAGTTTTACTGCTGTGTTGTTTTAACGTTGTGTTTATATATGTTTAGAAATGTGTTTATACAGATTTTCCTCGGGACACTCTTGATTTTTAGTATTTTACCGTTGTTGTTGAGGTTGGCTGGAATCTGATGCTCCATTCGCATTTGCAGCTAAAGTTACATGTTCCCCCGTAAAGGAGAACGCAATCGTCACAAACAATTTTCCTCTGACCCGTTAATACACGGCAACACCTTTTTAATTGTGGTATTTTCCTCTAATGTTACAAATCAACAAACAAACAAAAATAGATCTCATAAAATGAGAATTGATGCAGAAAAGCCCAAACGGATTCAGACCCAGCCGGGCTTCCTTCAGTACCCACAGTGCACCAAATAATGTGAAAATCTCTGTGGTTTAAAGAAATAAACTCACCGGTTTCTGCCAGAGTCTCTGAAGCCTTTGGCGAATGGATTCCTGTCGATTTTCAGCCTTGTAATCTGAAACGCAAAACGAGACTAATCATTTCCCATAATTCCTGCATCTATAAACTTATATAATGAAAGGTTTTTATTCCTTGTAAAATAAATTCTCTCTCTGTAATCTTTCAATCTAAGCTCCAAAAATAAACGTGTGTATGGCATATGTTTGGTTTGTGTGCATGTAGATGGGAATTTTTGTGGTTGTATACATTTTGGGGCACGCATGTGTGTGTGTGTGTGTGTGTGTGTGTGTGTGTGTGTGTGTGTGTGTGTGTGTGTGTGTGTGCGTGCATGCGTGCGTGCTGCGGGTGGTGCTTCAGGCCCAGTTCTATGACCCGTGCCCAAAGGGACTTTTACAGGCTTCGCCACCATGTTCTGACTCCAGTTGTCTTACAGTCAGAGCCAAAAGACCTCAGCTAACATCGAGATTCACGTCTGACTGGTTCACAGCAAAATGACAGAAAAAACCTCAACAACCATAATTCTCCTTTACACAACATGTTATATAAAGTCAGGAGAGGAAAATACATAAACTCTCAAGCTCCACAGCACTGGATGATTTTTAAGCAATTACAGGTGAAACTTGAAAAAGGGCATTTATGTCAGTAATCTTAGACCGAGAGACCATCTAAAGGCTCAGGAACCTTTTGCAGATGTTCTGGATTCATTAGCTGATTATAGTGTAACACTTTCAGTCTAAAAAATTGAACCTTTCAACAATATTCTGTCTGAGATTTTCAATGTGGGGTTTTCATAAGCTGGATTATATTATGTATTATAAGCTTATATTATATTTTTGTTATTATATTATTTATTAAAAGCTGTATTATAACAAATAAAGGCTGAAATATTTGGATTTGCATGCAATGAGTCTGTCTTATACATTAGTTCCACCTTTAAGTAGAATTATTGACGTAAATGAGTTTTTGCACCAGATTCTCCGTTTTCAACTTTTACCAGAATGATAAAATTATGTAACATCCTTACATTTATACATTTTATTCTGATAATTATGGTTCTTTTAGGTGGATTGGTATCAGGAGGTCAGAGCTTTGGTGCATTTAAAGAGATTATTAAAAAATATTAGGAATGTTTATTTCTATTTTATATTTCTTTAGAAATCCAGAAGTTTGATCTCACCACAATTTTAAATTAATCCTAAAATTTTTTTTATCCCTTTGTCAAATTTTTTGTGCATTTCTTTGATGTTTTTGTGGTTATTCTGAACCATTTTATTTCATTATCCCATTGTGTTTCACTTTATTGTGACATCTGTCTATATAGTAACAAATATAGACACATATATTAAATAGAAATAAAGAATGAAATAAAAAAGCAGAGGATCGTGTGCGTTTGCAGACTGATGGTGGGTGAGTTCAGCTGTCCTACCTGCTGGTTCTGATATGCCGTGACGGTGGTGAACACCGTCTCTGGAAAGGCGAAGGTGCGGGTTCCTTCCCCAACTGGAATGGCTCTTACTGGAGATAAGTCGTCTCCACACTCCTTCAGGATGACGTGGACCCGCGGCTGGTACTTGTGCATGGAGTGTAGGATGATCTGATGGATGATAGCAGGTTGAGTTACGCACCAGGAATTTTATCTGACTGATAAAGGCAGCAGGAGGGGCACGGGTGCAGAGAACATACGTGTCCCTGGTCATCCAGCTCGTTGTTGGTCAGTTTGAGTTTGTCGAAGCTGACCACCTGGCGCATCCAGGTCTCTCCTGAAGCCGGAGAGTCCGGGTGGATGTAGACTCTGGGAGGAACGGGGGAGTCGGCGTTCCCCGCCACCATCCACTTGGAGCTGTGATACACATACCTGCAGTTCAAAGGAGATTAAAATGTTTATCCACTGAAATTTATCTGCAGAAATAAGACGCCCATTTCAAAACACCAGCCAATACATTTGCACCTCCATTCTAAAGTAGTTCTGACCCAGTTTCAGAGTGAAAGCTGAAACTGATGGATGTTTAGTTTAAACGCCAGGGCAGACCTGAAACCTGCAAATAAAATCTGGTGCTGTGTTTGATGTTGTTGTGCTTCAGCAGCAGGGATGGAAGCTGTGGCTGAAAATCCAAACTCAGGTCAAGATGTTGAGTTGTTTAAGAATATTTGCTCCAGAGACTTTTTTTTGGTTTTGAGAAAGCAAATCCTCTAAATAAAAAAGAAAACATATTTGGAATTTTGAGGAAAAGTGATAGAATCTAATAAAATGTTGATTTTTACTCAAACATCAAACATTTCTGGCTTTTTCTTCTAACTTCCGATTGATTGAGTTTGGTTTATTGAGTCATATTTATGACACAGAGCAGACAGCTATGTGTGTGTTTGTGTGGGTGTTTGGGGTGACCACTGGACTTCTGTTCACATTAAAAAATATATTAAATTCAGCGTAAGTCACCAGCCTGGTTAAAGTTCATATTAATTAAATTGACTTTTCTTAAACATGATTCTAAACAGCTAGAGGGGGAATAATAAGATTTCAAATCCTCAGACCTCTCATGGAAATGAAAGTAAATCTGAACCACAGGTCCAGATTAACCCCAAATGAGTCCAAACCAAAACCGTTTATCTTATTTTAACCCAGAGCTGTTAAAGCTGGATGAAAGAAAGAAAGAAAGAAAGAAAGAAAGAAAGAAAGAAAGAAAGAAAGAAAGAAAGAAAGAAAGAAAGAAAGAAAGAAAGAAAGAAAGAAAGAAAGACATTTTATCAGTCAAAACTCTCCGTATGAGCGCGTTTTCAACCCATTCATCGCGCGCTAGTTGACAAACAGACGCATGGTTAATTATGGGACGGGATGAGCGCGTAGCAGGGACGTGGCTCGGCCCTCTCTCCCGCTCTGAGGGACTTTTGTTGGTTTGAGTTCTAGAGGTTAGAAGGCATCCAAAAGGCTCTCTCCAGAAACCGCCGTGACTAAACACAGGTGCCAGGCGCCGTTTGTGGAAAGAAGCTGGACTGAAAAAACCCCGAACTGTCCCACAAACTCCTTAACTCTGGATTTGGATTGTCTGATCTGATTCCTTACATATTAACCGTCATGCACTGACGCAAGGTTGTGCGCACGTGCCTCACCTGTAACGTTTGTTGTCCACAGGGATTATATCCATGGCGATGTAATACTGCTGATGGGGGTCCAACCCTGTGATCTTCACACGCATAGCGGGGAACATCCGCCTGGGAATAATAATAATAATAATAATAATAATAATAATAATAATAATAATAATAATAATAATAAAAGGCTTTTTTATGTTTCTCCTCCCTGACTTTTCTCCGTCTTACCGTCCAGCCTTGGTGATGATCATCTCCGTGCCGATCTCGTGGAACCGTTTCCATAAGTCCGATCCCTGCAGGTCCACTCGGGTGTCCTCTCCGGTGCCGGTGCCGGTGCCAGGTACGCTGCACAGCGCTGCGGGCTGCGGGCTCTCCAGCAGCGCCTCTTCGCTCTCGGCTGCACCGGAACGAGGCATATTTACACAGGCAGTGGTTATTTTGTCTCCAGAATAAAAACTTATGACAAGCAAGAATGCAAGCTAACTGAGCTCTACTATGTTTGTGTTTACGTATTTAGCAGACGCCTTTGTCCAAATATTCTTTGTTATATATTTCATTAATTTGTGTGGAGAACATTAATTTAACTAAACCATGTTAACAGGAGCAAGCATGTAAAAAAACCAAATGATTCATTAAATTGTTTTAACTGAATAAAATTTGCTTTAAAACTCTAAACGATCTTAAATTGCGTGTATCCCACGAATATTAGAAAAACTGGACCCTGCATTTAAGCCACATTATGCTTTATTATAAGTGTAAATGTTTTTAAGATATTAGACTTTATCTGTTTTTATTACTCCAACAAGCCGAAATAAAGAATGTATTCGCATTAAAATAATCCGAGCAGGTTTATTGGGGGTTTAGAAAAATTAAATGATATTTATTGTGTAGATGGTTTCTGCAGACGTGTTCTGGTTGCAGCTCTTTCCGTCTTTAACCGGTGCCAACTGGCGTGTTTCTGACTCATAATCTAATATCACCAGCAGAGATCTCTCAGGTTTTATTTAGTGATGCACATTTTATTTTTAATTTATTTATATTCTTCATAAAGTTTTTAAGGTGTAAAAGGAGAAAGACCACATGTGTGTTTTAAAATTCAGTAACACTACAATTATGTGACGTGTGGATGGAATTATTATTATTATTATTATTATTATTATTATTATTATTATTATTATTATTATTATTATTATTAACTTACGTGATCCGTCACTCGGACAGTCAGCTTCCCCGCTGCACGCTCTGCCGGTTCGAAGTCCCGGACTCCCGGTTAAATCTGAAACCTCCTTTCCGTCCTCGTATCCCGGGGTCAGATCCTCCTCTCCGGTCGTCCTGCGCCGTTTTTCCGCCCCAATCAGGGCTTCCACCGAGAATGCGTGCGCCTTTACGCTCAGAGCGCACGGCGAGCGCCGCTTCTCTGCCATGACTCTGGGGTTGGGCTCAGCAGAGCTGGAAGGTTTCGGCTTCGCGAGTTAGTGGGAAAAGTTTCCCACCCCAGCAGTGAGAAGGGGCCTCCAGAGGCTCGGACCCGTGCCGTGCCGTGCTGTATCTGGGAGAGTTTTCCGTCCTTGGGCCGAGAAACAGAAGTAGATGTGTCTGCGTCTCCGTTATCCGTTAAGTGCCATGCGGACTTTTGGAGAGTGTCAGGACCCGAGCCGAGGAGACCCGGAGAGAGGGAGCTGCGTCAATCATCACACACAGCAGCCAATCACGAGTTATCACGGCCCCGGAATCGTCCAGTCGTCCCGCCCGCTGCGAGGCCATTCGTGCCGCCTTATGAGGTAAAAGCAGAGCCGGTGAATGAATCATGTCTTCGGGCGGACGTGCGCCAGAAGCGGCCTTCAGCGGCATTGCGCGCATTTTCACACTCCGGCCCGACATGCTTTGCATATTTGCCCATTAGAAGCTCCGCAACTTTGCGCACTTGTGGCTCACGAGCCAGAAACAGTCACATTAAACAATAAGAAAAGCCTGCTCATTGGTCCTCGAATGTCTTTGGATAATTTAAATTTGGTCTCAAGTGAAAGATCCATTTGCCAAAACGAATTAAGATGTTTACCCAAAACTTAAAAAGATCTGCGACAGTTTTGTCTTTGTTGATAAAATTTCATTTAACGATAAAACTAACTGTTTTCATTTCATTCAGGTGGTAAATTGCTCGGTGAGTAAATAACCCAACAGGCTTGGCTTTGATTGCCAAAACCAAATTCACCTGTTTTAATCTGCGAAAGGATTTCATAACGTTGTGCGTCTATGAAATAATCAGCAACTCCAAAATCACTGCTACGTTTTAAATTCAATGCATTAAAATCAGTTTGGTCATTCCAGCAAAAGTCGAAATCAGCCAAAAAGGTTTATTTTTCCAGTCCATAATTGACCCTAAAGTTACTAATTTCTTACCTCAAAATTTTACTTATAATTTAGTTGGATAATGTCGATAAACAGTTGCACTGTAATTTATAAAATAAACAAAACAAAATCAAAATCGACCCCTGCAACGCTCGGACTTTCCACCAGAGGGCAGCAAGTACAGGATTGTGGACAGCGGCATGAGGAAGGTACTAATCCTGTTACAGAGGTCCCATCAGATGTGATTCATTTGGCTTTAATTGTATCTTGTAACTGAAATGTGTTTTTTAAGATAAACTCTTTTGTTATTTTATTCATCACAAAAGCACAAATGACACAGCGTGAGAAGAATGTTAAAATATTTAATTAATCTCAGATGAAGGATTTCTAACCCTTTAAAAACAACACAGATGTGACCATTTCTGGTCTCAGGACTCAGAGCCTCTAAAGCTGCGGGCCTTCTGCGCGGTTGCTGGTTAAATAAACATCACGTCGTCAACGTTTATTGGCATAAATTCAGACTAAATGACCGCAAGTCCGCGCGCACAATCCACGAGCCTTATCAGATCGAACGCTGCGTGTTTTACGTCTCGCGGGTCCGAGGAAAAACTCGCGTTTCTCTGTAAATCCGTGAGAATTGATCAGACATGGGTCGTTAAGAGCTGACCGGACTTTGGCTCTGAGGAGGCCCCGTTTGGTCTTCCCTCCACAACTCCATAATAACATTTAGGAATTCGTTTTCGTTCACCAGCTTCAGCTGAGGCTTAAACTGAAGCTGAATATTTAACTGAAGTGTGGAAAATACTCTTTGCCTCGTAGGTTTCTCATCATTTTTCATTTTTTATCTCACTAATTTTTTTTATAGAACAAAACTCTTTAATGGAGCAAATGCCTACATTTACTGATGCGTTTTGAACGAAAGGTTGATTAAAAATGTCGCATTTTGAAACAAACTACAAGCACAGAGGTTGTTGGATGGAAAAATGTCACTTTGCTTTATTAAAATGAACAGAGCATTTGATAACTAACGAAACTTGTATCCACACAAACAAAAGTCTGTCAAGTTTATGTGTATAAAATGTTAACAAATTACAAAACGGCTACTAAACTCTCGACTGTATCTATGTAAATGATCAAATAAAAGATAATAATAATACTTTAGCAAAAGCTTGTATTATCGTAAATAGTATGACAAATTAAAAAAAGTTTATTTTTCATAACAATAGAAATAATCGGTTCCGCTTCACTCAGGCTTTGGTTTTTGTCTTAAGGCGTCACTCACGTCACGTGACCGCCTTAAAAACTCACAGGAATCCATTTAATTTCAGACCACCATAAATCATTCTCTGTGTTTCTGTCAACACTCACCCCTCCAAAACTCAAGCGCCCGTTTTCAACCTCCAAACGTCATTATGTCACCTGTAGGATGTTTTTAGTTCCTTTCCTTCTTTCCACAAAAAATTAATAAATAATTTTAATTAACAATTAAAATCGTATTATTTGTTTTATCACCGAGATAAAGTCCCACCCATTATCAGCTAGTTGATCTGTTTGTATTTTGGGCCAATAAGCTCCTCGTGTGTTTGTTTGCATTAACGACGCTGTCAGATAAACAGGTGCGCCACAACCAGTGACCTTTACCAGCCAATCACAGGGGAGAAAACAAACGCGCACGCGCGCAGACTACACAATTAGTTATGAGCTTTGAAGGGAAGCTACTAATGTGCGCGCAGGGGAGTCTGGGTAAAGCACCATTAACAGTTATTTAGCGCGTGCTAATGGATATCTGGAGCACTGCCAGACGTTTTATGGCGGAAGTAGCATTAGAATATGAGGTGTGTGTGCGTGTGTGCGTGTGCGTGCGTGTGTGTGTGAGTGAGAGAGAGAGAGAGAGAGAGAGAGAGAGAGAGAGAGGGTGAGACAGCTACACTGTAAAACAGATTTTGCCACTTTAGCTGGCGTTAATGATGCCGTTGAAATAAAACAGACTATTTTAATGTTTCAATTTCAAAATGAAAGCCAAACTGGCATTTAATGTGTATATTAATGAACGTCAGCTTAACCTTAGAGGTCAGCCAGACGTCCAAACTTTGTTTTCTTTCTCTCATCCTTTTATTATTTTATTGTATTGATGTTTAATTCATCGTGGATTTGCGATAATAGCTAATTACACACGATGAAGTAAAAAATAGGAAGAAATGAAAAAAAGTTTAGTTTTATATATATGTTTAGGCTAATTGGCTGATTCATGTTATTTAAATTAACGGACTTTTATGATTATAAGAATGTTTTTCATTTCTTAATACAAACAAATAAAAGATTAAACAATTAAAAAATCTAAGTATTTCAAACAATAATAAAGTTTACACAATAAAACATTTTATTCAAGATGACAAAGTAATGTTTGCAAAGCATTTTCATTTATTTAACAGTCTAAATGGCATTTACTGGACTACTTGGAAACTTTACGGTGAAAATTATATTTTTTACAAGTAATTCAACTTTTCCCTTCTTTACATTTCTGAATGTATTTTTTTTACTATAGGCTTAAAATGTCTATTTGCTTTTAATTAATACTTTCCTTTTTTCCATTTTTTCTAACATAATTTTTTGTAAAAACTTTCTCGTACTTTCAAAATATTACACGTTTAGGTTGTAAATTGGTTTTTAAAGGATGCAAGTGATCACAATTTAGTCACTTTAATGGAAAAAATACAAGGAAACAGTTGCCTTTTTAAAACTGAAACAGCTATTTTACAGTGTATACATTATAATCATGCATAGAGTAGATTCTATGCAGATCTTTTTTTTTTTTAGATTTTCTAATGAGGAGAGGCTCAAGCAGGCAGGTGAGGATGTAGAATCACAGATTCAGGTCCAGGGTCATGACCCATCTAGATGGACCAAGTCTCAGCTGAAGACTCAGGCCTTGTCCACACGTAGCTGGGTTTTTAAAAGGGAATATCTGCCCTCCCAAAAGATAGCATCTACACAACCTCGTTTTAGAACAAACTCCATCCACATGTAACCACATAAGTGCATTGTTTAGCACATTCATGCCAGACCTGTAGGTGGCAGTAGTTCCCCAAATCCTATCCATTTCGTCTTCCTGCTCAACTTTAACAAAACATGAAACATGTCACCTAACCCATTTGTGTGGACCGATAAGGAGGTAGAATTGCTCTTAAACTACTTCAACTACTAGTTAAATGTAGTTTGATAACGCGAGCACAGATCCGAGGGCATCCATGTTGTAGTGTAAACACAGGTCACAGAAACCCAAATCTTTACTTTGGCTGGAGTTTTTTTTTTTTTTAAAGATTAGTTTTCGTAAATCTGCGTTTTTGTGTGGATGGCAGGCCAAATCGTAGAAAAATACCTTTGTTTTGGGAGATGCCTGGCTAGGCGTGGACAGGGCCTGAGACGTCCCCTGTAGGGTTAATCATTAAAGCCACAACTTGAACTTGTTACCTATCAGCAGCTGTGGCATCGCTGAAAAGACCCCAGCGAGCACATCCTGCTTATTCTGGCCCAGTCACTCGTCACAGAGGGAAGTGGACTGACCCCCGCTCTCCTTCATAAATTACCTTCCATTGAAAACGTGTGTTCCACCAACATGCTTGATAGAAACTGATGGATCTGTGACATTTATAGAATTTCTTTACGAGTCGTTTCTAGTCTTTACACAGTTGGTTCAGCTTTTTGGGTTTCTCCAGTGGTATTCAAGTTGAACTCCTGCTCTGGCTTTGAAAGCATGTCACACACACACACACACACACACACACACACACACACACACACACACACACACACACACACACACACACACACACACACACACACGCGCGCACACACACACACACACACACACACACACACACACACACACACACACACAAACACACACGCACTAGTTTCTGCATGATGGATTCATGCTCTCATTTGCATCTCACAGATAAAGGGAGACAATCATACATTTTTCCGCCTCGGTAAAACAGACTGAGTGATTATCTCACTCTATGAGTAAAGCCAGTGAAAAACAGCCAACGCTCAAGTTTTTGGTTCTAGAAAAAAAAAAGAGAAAATATGAAGTAAGACACAAAAAATCAGGTGTTAATTAAGTAAATAGACACGATAACAAAGTTCCTCCCTATAAACTTGCATGGAATGGAGTAAAAATTTAAATAAAAAGAATAAAATGAATAAACCAAATTAATTCATGGGAAAAAACTGAAAGTCAAATGATAGCTTTATAAATATTTTTAAATATCCATTTAGCTAACAGAGCTCAGTGTGGGTTGGTAAATTA